TGCTGTTGTTGCTGTTGTCGCTGCTGGTGTGCAAACAAGCTGCTGGCAAAAGCTAATTTTTTTTCCTCTTCTTCTTGTCACTAGAATCAACTAAACTCAGTTTATTGACATCCAAAATTACTTCAGTAGTTTACTACACTATTTCCCTGATGACACAGAATTGAAGAATTGTCGGATGACTGATGACGACATAGACGATGATGATGATGATGATGGTGGGTCCGGCAACATATCTGATACGCTGAGAACTGAGCGCTTAGACCGTATTCCCAGCAAACTTTCTATTTTTACCTCCACCTTCTCCATCGTTTTACACCTCACCTCGTCTTCTTTCCTTTTCGCTACCTCCTTTCTTATTTCATTTCTCATTCTCATTATGTCTTTCCATCCTTTTTTGCCTTTCGTACCACCAATGCCTCTTACGTTCAGAAATCTGCAAAATTTTCTTGCGTTTTACACGTCTTTTCCTTCTTCTTTTATCTTCTTCTTTTTAACCTCTTTCTTTTAACTTCTTTTTCCTTTTTTTCTCTTCTTCTATCTCTTAATTTCTATGTTTTATTACCGGAAAATAGCCATATGCATAACGGATCCGATTAAGTACAATTAAAATTTTTAAAAGCTATCATCAAAATTTTTTCAATTATTTTTCTTTTTGTTACTGTTCCCAGTCTTTTCCTGCTGATGCTGTAGATGTTATTCTTGCTGATATTAATGCAGTTGTTAAAGAAGAAAAACAGAAAGAAAAAAAAAAGAATTTACTTATTTATTTATTTTTTTTTTTTTTGCTGTCCTGTCTCTTCACCCAGTCGACAAACAAACATAACAGCCAGTAGTTAATTTTTTGGGATTACCCCCATCGATTCAGTCAAAGAGTTATGTGCCGTTTTTTCCTGCTCTTCAAATTTTTTTTTAATGAAAGAAAAGAATGATGGATATTAACGGAGACGCTGGCATAATCAGTGACATAGCATCTTAAGTCTAAAGTATTACTGATGAATGGAAGTCAGTTTTCATTTTGATCACGCAACAGTATCAGTAGATTTTTTTGAGGGAGGGGGGGGGGGCGGGGGTTTGCAGTTTTTCGTTTCTGTTGCTGTTAGTAATACCACTGTTTAGTTGTGTGAAAGATATGGATTCAATAAATGTCCATTTCATATCAATCATCGGTCTTATTTTATTCATCGCTGAAATACCCAGTAAAAAAAACGGAGAAAAACAAAAAAGAACAAGAGCAATTTGTCATCATTATCATTAAGTAATAATAGTCTTTTGTGCTTCAACAAATATGTACAATTTTTGCGGTAACTTTTATGACAGTGAAAATATTTGTAGAAATATTTTTCTGGTTGATTAGCACAGTGTTTTTTTGGGC